GCGCTCTCGTCGATACGCCCAACCGCCGATGCAGCACCTGTCGCAACAGCCACTGGCCTCCTTCAGCAGCAGCAGCAGTGGCGGCAGCATCAGCCTGCCACACCAGCCACCGCCTCTGCCGGCCAAGCCGCCGGAGACGATCGTGGTGTTCTCGTTCTGCGAGGAGCCAGTGCCGTACAGAATAAAAATACCCGGTACTCAGCCAACCCTGCGTCAGTTTAAGGACTATCTGCCCCGAAGAGGTCACTTTAGGTAGTATCTTCTCCGCCACTCAATGAACTTAATGCTTACTAATTTCTCCGTGACCGCATAGGTTCTTCTTCAAGACGCACTGCGAGGACCCGGACAGTCCAGTGATTCAGGAAGAGATTGTTAACGACTCCGACATACTGCCGCTATTCGGAGACAAAGCGATGGGTCTTGTCAAGCCATCCGATTAATATTAAGCATGTAGCGTAGATTTTGTATTAAGGCAAATCGTGAGTGTGGCTTGGTGCACTGATGCACTGAAGCACCAAAGTACGGCAGCGTACGCATACGATAACGAACGCACCAAGTGTACGCATCTTAGAGCTAGCAACTGGAGAAGCTATTTCCGACAAATCAAAAGCTATATCTGTACGGGCGACCGGCTTTTGTAAGCATCACAAACTACTCTCTGCGGGGGCAATGTATTTTTCTGTACAACAAAAACTGATCTATTCACCGACCACCGAAAAGGTGGTTGGATCTACGTTTGTAAATCCATAACGAGACTCGGAGCAATTGGTAGAAGGGAAGGATCCTCTTTATGTTGACACCTTGGCGGCCGTACGTTCAGGGTCCGAAAAGCGTTTCAGTCCCGCAGCCAGGGGCTGAGATGGTTAGGAACTGCACAAAATCAATTTATTGAGAAGATTTATGGGTTTACCTCGATTGGGATTTGTTTGTTACCTTTTACTAACTACGGACTGCCTGCAATAAATTTTGTTAATATTTTTGTAATGTGCATTTTATGATGATGATATGATGATATTAACAAAGTTCTATTCAACTCGACAAAAATCAAAAGATAATCTGTTTTATTTTTGTATATCTATAACACAGCATACACACTTAACATTTATGTATTTATACGATGTATTGTAATTGCGTCAATTGCATCTACCGATCTACCATTAGGCACATTTCATTTTGGGGCTCGATCAGTCCAGCAGCGACCAATAGTGGGATACATGTGGGTATATTGGAGGCCATTGGCCGAAACGGACGAGGTCGATCGATTGATTTATTTAAATAAGTTAACGCATACACTTACTATACATATTTTTTTAAGAAAACTGAAATAACCGCAGAAATATGCAAGTAACGGATAAATTTATTATATCAAACATATTTTATTTGTGAGCAAAATGCATATAGATTTAATAAAAAAAAGTACATGGATAGAACGTAATGAGCCAAATGATTGCAATTGCATTCGGTTGATTGGGTGGTGATAACGATGATGGTCAGGATTGGGCCTTACACAATATATAATTATCTATTATATATATTCAATAGTGGGCTAAACTGCCGTGCAGTCGTCTCTCTGAACGTGAGCCACATAGTTCTGCTCGTTGATGAACGTATGCGTGCACTTGGGGCAGTGGAAGCGGCGATGGCGGTTGGTTCCAGGACTCTCGTGCTCCCGCAGATGGGCCTTCATGTTGTACATCTGGGAGAAGCGCTTGTTGCACACCGGACAGGCAAAGGGCTTGTCACCCGTGTGGGAGCGCATGTGCCGCTCCAAGTGTGCCTTGGTCCGGGTCTTGAAGCCGCACACCTGGCACTCCAGCCGCTTGGTCTCGTTGTCGTGGATCATCTTGTGCTTGTACAGGGCCACCTTGTGGACGAAACGCTTGGAGCAGACTTCGCACTGGTATGGCGTTTCGCCGGTGTGCCAGGCCATATGGTGCTTCAGTCGGAACTTGCGGCTAAAGCGTTCCGGGCACACAGGGCAGGCGAACTGCTTCACGGGCTCGTGGTTCTGTAGGTGGCCTATGAACCCGGAGTACGATTGCAGCGTCTTCCCACACTGATCACAGACGTAGCCTGGAAAGTGCTCGCGTTTTGTGTGGGCATTGTAGGCGCGCCGGCTGCTGAACTTCTCCGGGCAGCTGGGGCACTGTATGTTCACGGTGTATTCGCCAGAGCTGTCGTTGTCATGCTCCTGGTCGTCGCCATCGGATATTACGTACTCTATTGTGCCGTCCTGATGCTCATCAAAATCGCTCATAGTATCTTCTTTAAAGAAGTCTTCTTCCTGGGCTCCTTGCTTGGCATGTGGCAACAGATCCTGCTCCTCTATCACGTGGACCACCTCCTCTACCTCTTGGGCCTCCTCCTCGTTAATGATAATCTCGTTATCGATATCTAGATCTAAATCCTGAAACTCGTCGTCCTCCTCTGTTTGTTTGATGATGAAGGTGTGCTCCTCTTCGGTCACTTCCTCCTCGATGCCGGAGGAGTCGACCAGGGTGACGGTGGTGCTCCCGCCCTCCAGCTCCTGCTCCTGGTCCTCCTCGACCTGACTCTGTGCCTCCTCAATATTCCCATCGAACTTGCTTATTGTGGTTACCCGGTCGAGATCCTCTTCCTTATAGCCGGACTGTTTGTGGTCCTTGGACATGTAGGGATTGTGGATCAGCTCCAGGATCTCCTGGCGCAGCTTGCGCGCTATTTGTATTGACTTGTGGTATCTTGTAAGCTTCTCGCAGCATTTCTTGCAGATCGTCGACGATTCCTCGGTGAGGACGTAGTCCGTGCCCCTGGTGCACTGCAGTACCAGCTCGCTGATCAGTACTGGCGGATGTCCGACAGTCTCGGTGTGAATGTCCTTTGGCACTCGCACCGAGAATAAACAAATGCAGCAATTCATATTTGATTAAAATTTATTTACAATTTCGAGCCAATGTGACCGTCCAGTCGGACGAGTGCTCCTATTGTGCCGCTATCGGTTATCGAAAATCGGGCTGCTGAGCTGGTTCAATTTTCCTTAACGCTTCAGATTTCAAATTTAAACTTTAGCCACGCGCCATTACTTATTTTTGATTTTAAATTGCCAATAAGGTAGCTGTGAAAATGAAAATCAAAAGCTTAAAATTCGTATCGTACTCGGTGAAAAACGAAAGAATGATATTTAGCCATGTATTTACTTTGTATTTTTTATATAAGAAATTGCCAACAGGGCAGCTTTGAAAAATTAAACAAGCTTTAAAACGCATTCACTGTGTCACTCTTGGTACGCGTTCATGTTCCTTTTAGGCAAGATGATATTGTAATGCTGGAATTTGGTCCAAGACAGCAGAATGTCCTTCGTCCTGCCGTGCGGCGCCTCTCCAAAGGTCTGAGGGAAGTCTTTTTAGCAATCGGGTTGACAGTAGATGACTCAATCCACTTACCTTACAGCACCCGTAAATTTTCATTACTTTCTTATCCTCCTTGTTGCTGATGAACCCTCCACCCAGGCATTTAGTGCATATGCCAATTTTGTCCATCTCCTTCTCGATTTCCTCGAAAATTTCCTCTGCCGACAGAACAATTAAATCGATTTCGCTAAAATGATTAGCAGAACTAACCGTGGTCCTTGGAGGTGGATCCTCTGACGATGGTCCTGCCAAACCTTGTTAAGCCGTGCATGTGAATCATCATCAAAAGGTACTTGTTCTTTCCATTAGAAAGCTGAACTCTGGGAACATTTATCAAAAGGGCGTTGACACGCGAGGCACTTTGCCTTCGAATGGGCTTAACTAATTGCGAAACAGGTGCCAAAAGGTTTAAAGTTTTCATTTTGGAAAAATTTTAAGAAAAAGGCACTGGAATTTAGATGAAATATTCCGAAAAGAAACTGGTCTGAACGGTAGCAAGGACCCAGCTAGACTGATTTCATTGGAAGCCCTCGGATCGTATGCTAAATTGAAAGCTGACACGAAAATCGTAGCACATGTGATCATTTAAAAAGTAGGAAACTTTCATATTCTGTGAAGGAAATATTTGTATGAAAGACTCCAGATACTCGAAAGCATTTATATTAAGAACTGAACTACTTTTCGCAGAAGTGGGAAACATCAACCATTTTTCCTTTTCGTGGACCCCTTAATAATATTTAAAAAGAGCTTTACTTTTATATTCGAGTTTTTAATGAATACTGAATTTACATTTTCGAAATATATGCAACTTTAATTCTTAACGGTTATCTTGAAATCCTTATATGTGGTCCACGATTGAAGTATATTCCTCGTCCTTGTGTGATCAGCACTGCCGAATGTCTGAGAACCCATTAAGAACCATTAACCGGTGCTCCAAGGACCATGGATCAAGGACCTTCTACTTACCCTGGAAGTGCCATAAATCTTCATTTTCTTACTGTCCGTCTCGTTGAGAATCCTTCCACCACCGAGGATTTTCGCACATATGCCCTGTGGCTCCAACTCCTCCAAAATGGAGTCAAAAATCGTCACTGAAAGAAGGATTTGCTAGACTGCTGGGTAAGTGTCCTGTAGTCGAAACTCACAGTGATTTTCGACATCGGCACCTCGGACAATAACTCTTCCATATTTCGTGAAGCCGTGTGTATGAATATTCACTAACAAATAACGATTCTGACCTTTGGTTATCTTGACCCGGGGAACGCCAACCAAACTGATCAGATCGGTCGAATAACATTTCCCTGAGAGCAAGAACAGACCGTGTTCATTTACACTTGTTAGATATATTAATGTTCTTAAGCCTTACGAAACGGAGAGACAATACGGGGAAGTAGACTCAATGACTGGAACATTTTCATTTTATTTTAGCAAAGGAAAATAACAAAAGCCGAATTTGTATACAACCAGAGAAATTTAGATCCGAAAAGGTTTAGTGTGAGCAGTTGCAAAGCTACAGACTAACTGCTTTTCAACATAATTTTTCCATTTTGAATGCCACAAAAAAAAATGCCGAAAAATTCATGGCACATAGGATCGTAGCCACTAAATTCATTTCAGGGTATTTATGTGGAGTCTTAGGTTGTTGATTGCAGCTAATATCCCTCATCGGACGTTTCGATCGTGTAATCCGGGTATTTTGTGGCCAGGATGCGCTTGGTCTGCGCGTGATCAGCTTTTCCAAAGCCCTGAGAAAGAAAGACGTGATTAGCAATATTTTCCAGTATATCCACTCCCTAGCGACTCTTTCGCTGAAGGAAGTACTGAAGGACACCTTCAAAATAATAATAATAATAATAATAAAAAAAAATAGACCCACCTGCGAGTATCCGTAGACCTTCAGGTACTTCTTGTCGGGATTGTGCTCGATGCGACCACCACCAGGACACTCGGCACGCAGTCCCAGTTTTTTGAAGACCTCCTCCTCGCGATCGAAGATGTCGGCTAAAGGAAATTACCCAGCATAAGTAGCACGCAATGAGTAAGGTAAATCCAACTTACCATGCCATGTGCAGTCCGCAAATCCGCGGATGACAGCCTTTGAAGCATCTCCTCCATCGATGACATTGATCATGACGTATTTGAAGATGCCCTCTGGACTAATGTGCACCAATGGCACGCCGGCAAGTGCTTCCTCGGACATTTTGTGAATCAGTCGTAGGCCTTTGGAAAGCAATTGGAAGCGATTCATTGTGGAAAGGTGTTTAAAAATAATATTTAACTTCTTACCAACCGGCAAATTTTCTAAAAATGCTGCTGCTTTAGTCTAACAATGTGACCAGATAATTTTATTTCCGTTCACCCTATCTATCGATACTATTGAAAGAAGAATATTCAGTTATTTCGTTACCAAGAAACCCCTATTTTCAACATTTGCTTAAACATTTTGTGTACATTTAGATATTTGTATATTTCAATAATATTTAATAATATATAATAAGGTCAAAAACAAAACGTTGTTATCAGTGACAGAAAATATATCGATTACACCACAGCACGCAGTCAATACCATCGCCACTATCGGCACAGCTCTGGCGTTCACAACAAAATATACACAAATTATATTGTTTAAGCCGAATTTTTCGATTGGATTTGAGATGAGCTCCACGCGTCCGTTTTGCTTCGTTTGCGGCAAGGAAAAGTCCGTGGGCGTGTTCCAGCTGATAGAAGGTAATGCTTCCTTCCGCCGTACTCTGAATCGCCAATAGCCGACTTTTTCACAGGCTGCATAGTGCCAGGAACCTTTAAGCCGATCAAGGATATACTGAAGTACTTCGAGAAGATCATAAACCAGCGGCTGGACCTCCTGCCCAACTCTACCGCCTGCCGAGACTGCCTGGAGTACCTCTTCAACTATGACAGGCTGGTGAGGAATCTCAGCCAAGTGCAGCGCCAGATTGCGGATGCACTCCTTGGTTGCAGGCAGGTGGAGGACAAGCCGGAGGCCAAGCAGCAGGCGGCGAAGAGGGCACGCGTCCAGGTGCCGGCCTTCAAGATCATCCAGGCCACCGCCCTTAAGGAGCCCGAGAAGCAGCCGGGGGAGGGGGATGAATTGGAAGATTTCATGAAGGAGGAGATGCTCGACGAAGAGTTTCAGTTCAGCGAGCCGGACGACAGCATGCCGTCGTCGGAGGAGGAGTTCTTCACCGAGACCACCGAGATACCCTGCCATATCTGCGGCGAGATGTTCTCCAGCCAGGAGGTTCTCGAGCGGCACATCAAGGCGGACACCTGCCAGAAGAGCGAGCACGCCACCTGCAACGTATGTGGCCTAAAGGTCAAGGACGATGAGGTCCTCGATCTGCACATGAACTTGCACGAGGGCAAAACAGAACTAGAGTGCCGCTACTGCGACAAAAAGTTCTCGCACAAGCGGAACGTCCTGCGCCACATGGAGGTGCACTGGGACAAAAAGAAGTACCAGTGCGATAAGTGCGGCGAACGCTTCTCGCTCTCCTGGCTAATGTACAACCATCTGATGCGGCACGACGCCGAGGAGAACGCCCTGATCTGCGAGGTGTGCCACCAGCAGTTCAAGACCAAGCGCACCTACAAGCACCACTTGCGCACCCACCAGACGGACCGGCCGCGTTATCCCTGCCCCGACTGCGAGAAGTCGTTCGTGGACAAGTACACCCTGAAGGTGCACAAGCGAGTCCACCAGCCGGTCGAGAAGCCGGAGTCGGCGGAGGCCAAGGAAGCCACCGCAACGTTCTTTTAGGGTAGTCCTTTTGCTAGATTAATCTAAGTAGCCCAGCTGATGGGTGCATAAGCGCGCGTATGTATCATAAAATTAAATCTAAACAATCATTGACGGAAAATACCAGTTCTTTGCCCGTTTTCCAGGAACTCTAACAGGTAAAATCGCGGATTTCGCGAATTTGTCGAATTATCGCCGGCTGTGGCCATAAAATAGGCAGATGTTTTTTAAATCCTCTGAAGACGTCCTTTCTACCTGTGAGCTCGGCATATATAAAGGTGTCCAGCTGTCTGCCACAACTTAGTCGAACATTTCTGTTTTCCTGAGCACATCTTATTGAGGAGTATGGAGTCGTTATTGGTTCAGTTAAACACTTGCAGCGAGCTAATCGCCGAGGGTTACAGCAGCACCGGCAACATTGGCTGGCTGAACGAGTTCTGCGCCACTTTCTTGGACTTTGCCAGCGATCTGAAAGCCAGACTGCCGGAGGTGGCGCCCAGTGGCGCCAACCTAGATGTGGAGACCATCTTTCTGTGCCTCACCCAGGTGGTAACCTGCATCACCCACCTGGAGAGGACCATCAGCATGGAGGCGCCGCAGATGACCAGGCAGCACTTCCTCGATCGCTTGGACTGGTGCCTGCGACGACTGCTCGTCTCCTTGACGCAACTGGAAAGCAACGTAGCCCCAGTCAAGAACCTAGAGGACCACTCCTTCGTAGAGCTAATGGACCTGGCACTGGACCACTTGGATGACTACATGGAGAAGCTGGCCCAGCAGAGCAACAACTCGCTGCACATTCTGGAGGAGAGCTTCACGGAGGACACCTATCAGCTGGCCAGCATAGTTAATCACATCGTTCGCCACGCCCTGGCCTTTGCCAATGTGGCCATTAAGTCGGACAAGAAGGCTTTGAGTGCTCTGTGCGAGACCTTACTCACCGAATGTGCCACTTTCCACGAGGAGGCGGGTGAGCCCAACAGTGGGCATCGAAAGCTGGAGGCCCTCTCCCTGGAACGGGCCCTATATGCACTGGAATCCTTCCTAAATGAGGCACTGCTGCACTTACTGTTCGTCAGTCTGATAGATCTGGAAAACACTTCGGTGGAGAAGCTGAAGGAGACACTGCAAAGGGATTCTGTGGGAGCTCGGGAACTAATCTCCGCATTCGACACCAATATGGATCGCATTCAGCAGATTGGGGTGCTGGCCATAGCCTTCTCCCAGGACATCAAAACTAAGACAATTGTCAGGAGTTGTCTGGCTTCATTGGAATCCCTGGATGCCTGCATTGTACCAGCTCTCCAGTTGCCAGAGTCCATTTCATCCGCACACCACGCTGATGTCTTGCAGGAACATTTCAACCAGGAGCTGTTGATCTTTCGGAACGTCATCCACGAAATCATCGATAGCTGCTCCCTGATAAACAACTACCTGGACATGCTGGGCGAGAGGATCCACGTTCAGGACAGAAACCATCTGAAACTGATTGTCCAGAGGGGCGGTGTTCTGGTGGAGCACTTTCGGTTGCCCGTTAATTATTCGGGACTCAGTGAAGATGGCAAGCGGGTGCACAAGGATCTCATCTTGATCCTGCGGGAGTGCCAGGCTGTGGTTAACCTGGACATCCCATTGGACCCCAAGCGCATCGTGAAGCGTCTTAAGATACTGTACTCCGTTCTGGCCAAGCTGAGGGACTTGATAAGCAAGGATAACCTGGAACCCGAATCCTCAGTTGCCTCCGCAGCTCAAGTTCCCTTAAATGCAACCCGCACTTTTGTGCGGAACAGCCGTTCCATTGGCAAAAGACATCGCTCCTTTGTAAAGCAAACCCGAAATTGCTCAGTTTTCGGGCCACAGGACTCACTTGCTGAATCCTGTCACAATGAAAGCGATCTTATTAGTTTTCAAATCACAGAAATTCTTAGATTAGATTGACCGGCAAGCCATATTCTAAATACATGGGCACGTCTATAGGAAATATAACTGATAATTTTGTAATGCTTCATTAGCTTGAAGTGTTTAATTAATATTGAACATATATTTTAAAAAAATTCTATGTAGCTACCAATTTCTGTTTACTTTGGAACGCACCTTGTATATATTTATGTAATGACTTCATTAAGTTGAAGCCATTCGCATAATTTATATAAAATACAATAAAAACATACAGTTTTAAACAACTTTTACAAATTAAATTATTCAAATATCAAATTAAATACTACTAGTAAACTTGGGTAATTGAAACCAATACACAAACATAAGCAACAACATATACTATATTTCCTTAACGCCAACATTCTCTGTACTTCATTTAACATCTTAAAAAAGGTTTTAAAAAATTACATTTCCGTTAGCCATATTTAGCGAAAATATTTGTTAAATATTCAACTTGTAAATGTAAAATTTTACTACACCCTGTTTCATTCCCACCGTTCCGGCCCCAGCGTCATTTGACATCGTTCGCCAGCCCTGGTGACATGATGCCATGGTTGCATTTCACGCGTTTTAGTATAGCCTCCGATATTCATCATTTTGCCAACTCTATTAAATTCCATACACAATTTAAAAGGTTGTAAACAAAAGCCGCCGGACCCGGAATCGCTGTAAGGACAACCGTCGGCGCAATGGACACCTGCTTCTTCTGCGGCGCCGTAGAGCTGAGCGACACGGGCTCCTCCAGCTCCATGCGCTACGAGAAGCTGTCGGCCAAGGTGCCGTCGTCGCAGAAAACAGTGTCCCTGGTGCTCACCCACCTGGCCAACTGCATCCAGACGTCGCTGGACCTGAAGGCCAGCGCCCGGCTGTGCCCGCGCTGCTTCCAGGAGCTCTCCGACTACGACACGATCATGGTGAACCTGATGACCACCCAGAAGAGGCTGACGAACCAGCTAAAGGGCGCTCTAAAGTCCGAGTTCGAGGTGCCGGAGTCCGGCGAGGACATACTCGTGGAGGAGGTGGAGATCCCCCAAAGCGATGTCGACACAGATGCCGATGCCGAAGCGGAAGCCCTTTTCGTGGAGCTGGTCAAGGATCCGGAGGAGTCCGACTCGGAGATAAAGAGAGAGTTCGAGGATGAGGAGGAGGACGACGACGACGACGAGGAGTTCATCTGCGAGGACGTGGAGGTGGGCGACTCCGAGGCCCAGTATGGCAAGTCCTCGGATGGCGAGGACAGACCCACGAAGAAGCGCGTCAAGCAGGAGTGCACCACCTGCGGCAAGGTCTACAACTCCTGGTATCAACTACAGAAGCACACCAGCGAGGAGCACTCCAAGCAGCCCAACCACATCTGCCCCATCTGCGGGGTAATTCGGCGCGACGAGGAGTACTTGGAGCTGCACATGAATCTGCACGAGGGCAAGACGGAAAAGCAGTGCCGCTACTGTCCCAAGAGCTTCTCGCGCCCGGTGAACACCCTGCGCCACATGCGCATGCACTGGGACAAGAAGAAGTACCAGTGCGAGAAGTGCGGCCTGAGATTCTCCCAGGACAACCTGCTCTACAACCACCGGCTGCGCCACGAGGCCGAGGAGAACCCCATCATTTGCAGCATCTGCAATGTGTCGTTCAAGTCGCGTAAGACCTTCAACCATCACACGCTCATTCACAAGGAGAACCGGCCAAGACACTACTGCTCCGTCTGCCCCAAGTCCTTCACCGAGCGCTACACCCTCAAGATGCACATGAAGACCCACGAGGGTGACGTGGTCTACGGGGTGCGGGAGGAGGCGCCCGCCGATGAGCAGCAGGTGGTGGAGGAGCTGCATGTGGACGTCGACGAATCGGAGGCGGCCGTCACCGTCATCATGTCCGACAACGATGAGAACAGCGGCTTCTGCCTCATTTGCAACACGAACTTCGAGAACAAGAAGGAGCTCGAGCACCACTTGCAATTTGATCACGACGTAGTCTTGAAATAAACTACCATTGCCTACAATAAGTAATTGTATTTCCCTAGATTATTTCCTTCTCTTTGTACTTGATTATTGTAGAACCCTACAAAATATAATTTACTGGTATTCGAATACTGCGTTTGATTTAGACATTTTTCAAAATAATTGTACCCTGTCCTGTAACATAATCATGAAAATATATAATTACGATTTTATATAATCTTTCTCTTTCAATATAAAAGGCTGCTTAGTTTCGACACGTAAATTAATCTGTATTCTTCTATAAATTCAAGGCACCTGCTATCAGAAAGGCCATTATCGCATGCACATATTATTTATACGGCGGTGCTACTTTTATGGTGGTATCCCAATCTCAGAAATGACAACTGCACGCGGCATTCGCACATCCTTTTAACTAAAAGTCCGGTATATTAACGTTTACAAATGTGTATTCCGACCACGTTACAAGAACTCTCAAGAATCTTAAGCTTACTCGTTCTCTTGAGAACGCAGGCGACCGTTGGGGTTGGTGAGGCGGACCGACAGCTGCTTGGCGCGCTCGACGATCTCCTTGCGCTTCTTGGAGGAGACGCCATGGGCGATCTCGCCGCAGTAGACGCGGTTCTGCATGAGCAGGACCTCCAGCTCCCGCACGTTGTGCACCAGGAACTTCTTGAATCCGGTGGGCAGCATGTGGCGGGTGCGCTTGTTCGATCCGTAACCGATGTTGGGCATCAGATACTGTCCCTTGAAGCGGCGACGCACTCTGTTGTCGATACCCTTGGGCTTACGCCATTTGTGCTGCAAGCAAACAAGTTGATAAAGCACGGGTTTCCGATACAATTCTCGTTAGCACTCACCGACAGCTTAGCATATCGATCCGACTGGTGGCGGATGAAGTGCTTGGTGCGCTTCTTCACGATCTTGGGCCTGTATGCTGGGCGGATGGTCATCTTGAAGCTGGAAGGGCACAACAAAAGCAGCCATTAGTGCACTGGGCATCAACTAGCCCACGGGGCTTATCACTTATCAAGCTAATAATAGACTAATGCAGAAATCAACAAGGTTGGGGTGGCTTCTTAGGCAGTAACCATCGAGTTTCCGGTATGTTGCCCCACGAATTTCCAACACAAACAGAAGCCATTTGGCGAACTCTCACAGGAATCAGTCCGAATTTGGTCGAAATACGAACCGCACACTTGCGAACGGCGGACGGACCAACTCAGTTCAACTTGTAACCGCCAAAACCGAGAATTACGGCTAAAAAGTTATAGAAATACACGTGGGCCTAAAATCACGCACATACCTTGCCGGAAACCAGAAGCGAAAAGAAAAAGTTGGTGGTGTGAAAAAACATCGATATTTCGAGCGTCGATGTTGTCGCCGATATTTTTGTTTGTGGCGATGCTATGCAATGTGATGCGAAACATCGGTTGATGAATTTAAATCTTTTCGCGGCCTCCAAGTTTTGCAAGTTCAATCATTTACAAATAGGACGACCAGAACAACTGTGATGGTATGTGAAACTAAGATTAGAACCATTTTTAGCTTCATAGAGTTGGTTAGTTTTATTAACATGCCTTGCATCTTGTCCCAATGTGCAGCATAAAGATATTTCTTTTGTACACTGGTTGCAACAGCTGTTGACTAGGCATTTTACAGCACCGTCACCTGTGAAACAACAATAAAAAGATAGGAATGGGAAAGTAAAAAGCTGACAGAAGAGATCGATGAGCAGGTGTTTCCGAGTTTATGGAGGCTGATATGTAAGCTTCCAAGTCGTTGATTTTAGAAAAACCCAATCCAAATTGACGCACGATAAATTCCGGGTCCACAGGGTGGTCCTTGCGACAGTGCACAGGGTGATTCGATCAAAAGAAACTGACAGTGCTGTTAAACGTACTGTTAAGAATATTTAAAATAAATGTTAAAATAAGTTTTTGTTTACACAATGCGATAAAAGCATAAGTTTCACATTGCCGAAAAGTGCGAGTACAAACCCCAAAGCCGCTGTTGCAAATTAGTGTACGTCAAAAAATTAGTTTTGTTGGCCCTTTGGCTTGCGAAAAATTTGGATAACAGAGTCCTTTGGTATGCACCAGAGGTCCAGCGACGGTCACACTGGCGGTGGCCGTCAAACCGTGGTTCTTCTTCATTATTATATAATTAAAACCAATGCGAATCGAAACCAAAACAAACCAGCACAATCCCCGTGTGTGAGTAGTTACAATGGTAACGCGGTGACAAATGCGCACTTCTCCACACACCCGAATTAAAGATAGGACAGCAGCAAGATGAATGACGATGGAGCACCAAATGTCGCGAAAACCACCGACCCACCGCCCCCCAAAAGGCTACCATCCGGAAGACCCCACAGCCATGGAGACGGGGCTGCGGGAAAACAGCTGCATGGCAGCGTTTTCTCGGAGCGATTCTTCGGCTCCTTCCAGTGGGAGGAGTTCGCCTGCGGATGCGGAGCTGCCTTCGTCAACATCGCGGTCACCTATCCCATCTATAAGATGATCTTCCGGCAGATGCTGCACGGTGTGCCCATCACCTCGGCCTTTGCGCAGCTGCGTCACGAGGGACTGGGATTCCTTTACCGCGGAATGCTCCCGCCGCTCGCCCAGAAGACCATCTCCCTGTCCATCATGTTCGGGGTGTTCGACGGGACGAGGAGGTACCTCGTGGAGGACTACCGCCTGAACGACTACGGGGCCAAGGTGATAGCGGGTGTGGTCGCCGGTAGCGCCGAGTCCATCCTCCTGCCCTTCGAACGGGTGCAAACCCTCCTGGCGGACTCCAAGTTCCATCAGCACTTCTCCAACACACCAAACGCATTCAGGTGAGCAGAACAAAGGCGACTATAGGTCACCATACGTATGTTTGTGATAGACGGATCTTTCACTTTGAGAAATACAATTTCTTATGGCATTTTATCATTCCGCAGGTATGTGGTATCCCACCACGGCTACCGGGAGCTCTACAGGGGACTTGAACCAGTATTTTGGCGTAACGGCCTGTCCAACGCGTTATTCTTTGTGCTGCGAGAGGAGGCCAGCGTCCGGCTGCCCAAAAGAGTGAGTATCAGCACCTGATCCCCTGAAGAAACATACTAAGAAACCTAAAAACAACCCACAGAAATCAGTGTCCACTCGAACGGCCCAGGAGTTCATAGCGGGCGCCGTGATCGGGGCGAGCATAAGCACAATATTTTATCCGCTCAACGTGATCAAGGTGTCGCTGCAGAGTGAGATGGGCCAGAGGTCAGAGGGCAGCTGGCAGGCGTGCAAGCGAATTTACGTAGAGCGCGATCGCCGCATCGGCCACTTCTACCGCGGATGCGCTTTCAACACAGGCCGTTCCTTTATCAGCTGGGGCATCATGAACACGGCGTACGAAAATCTGAAGAAAGTGATGCAGCAGCAGCCCCAGTTGCCACTAGCCTCGGAGTAAATGCGGCGTTTCGGGAGTAGAACTAGGGTTAACTTAGCTGATTGTACACAAACGGTTACTTCTGCCTTTAGCTAGCCAATTATTTCGTTCGATTTAAGTCTCATCTAAGTCGCTCGTGTTGCGATGCTGAATTCTAGGTGTTAATGTATATACACACATCCTCCTCATATCTGTATATCTATTCAATTCGCCCCGCGGATGCCAAGTACAATACAACGTGAGCATTTAAAGGTACCCAATCTACGAGTTACGGTTTAGTTAGCTACTATTCGAGTACGTGTAAATAATACTAGATGATGAGCGATATAATACGAGTGCGTTGTTTGTTCGCTAATGACTTTGTGATTCATTGAAGATACTAAAACTGATTAATTTACGCGGTAAATTCAATGTTCTTAAATGAAAATAAAAGTGTATTTGTAATTACGAGGCTTAGGCGTACATCTTATGTAAGTTTCAGCATTTCATGGTTATCTATAAGCACACAGAATTTAAAGATCTAATCTAGGGCTAGTGGTAGGGTACGAATATCACAAGTAAGATTAAGTGCAGCACACCAGGCGGCCTATCGCCGTTTAAGGGAGCTGCGGTAACGCTGGTAGAAGTCCTCCATGGCCCTGTACTCGGGCTCCAGTATGTCGGGAATCTCCTTGTCCAGTGAGGCGAAGTACACCATGGCCACTGAGCTGCTGCCCCTCAGCTCCAGCTCGTATCGCCTCAGCTGCTGGAAGAATCCCGAGTTCGGGCGCACCTGAGGCCTGATGGCCTGCACATGCTTGTAGGCCTCGCGCAGACTCATCCCAGCGTGCTTTATCAGATAGGCCAGGCACAGACTGGCCGAGCGACTGACCCCGGCCACGCAGTGGATCAAAGTGCAGCCACCGGAGAGGCGCACCTCCTCGATCAGATCGGCCGCCTCATCGAAGTGCTTGGACAAGTCCACCTCGGAGCGATCCTGGGCCATGATGCGCAGGTAGAGCGGACTCTTCTGGCTGGGCAGTGGTGTGTCCGGCAGCTCGGGCGCCACATTGATGACGCAGCTCACGCCCAGCTTGTCCATGTGGGCGGGCACCACAGCCGCAGCTCCGCAGAGGATCAGCGATGGAGTGAGGCGGGACAGGCCGGGAAACGGTGTATGGTCCTCTAACTTGGATGCACTTAGCTGGCTGCAAGGAATCAAAGAGCACAGAATAGTGAGTATTATGGACTTGTGTTTTTTGTAAACAAAGAAAAGCTTATGCAATTCTATAGATGTAGATACAAAAGTTTTGGGGACTCTGCCAAATGTTGCTGCGTAAATATTTTGGCTGGATAACCTGGTGCACTTCAAAGTGGGTGAAAGACCCGATAAAATAAGAACATTTCTCGGGCGAACAAAGGAGAACAACTGCTGCTAAGCCAAACACACAAATGGGCCATAAACAAATGGCAGGTATTCTTGTTTTTTTGCGTAGTACTGCCACAGCTCTGTGGATAATTTTGTGAATGGAAACTAAATCATCGAATCCATCGAAAACAACTCAACCCATCCAATCCCAGCAGATCCCAGCGGATCCCTCCCATCACCTACGTATTTATGGGTCGACGTCATGGTTTTCTGCGCTGCGTAGGCACAAACAATAAACATATTGCCGAAAATACCTACATATGTATATAGCCAAATTTGTATCTGTACACCTCAAAAATGCCTGTTTATAATTAGTTTCGCGGAGTGTATAATAAATGGAGGCGATGTGAAAATAGCATGCTTC